CGTCGTCATCATCATCATCATCATCATCGGAATCACCCTCATCATCACAACCATGAACTGAACACCATAAGGCGGCCATCATAGTCATCATCATCATCATCATCACCACCACAAAGATTATCATCATCATCGACAGCGTCGTCATCACCATCGTTATCGTCATCAAGACCATCACTGCCATCACCATCACCATCAGCCTCGGCATCATCGCCTTTGCATCGCCACCGTCTTCCTCATCCCCAGCCCCATTATCACCGTCACCATTATCACCGTGTTGATCATCACTGCCAACATCACCGTCATCATCATCACCACCATCACCATGCTCATCATGCTAACCCTTATAGCCATCGTGTACTTTCTTCAGACTCATCATCCTGATCGTCACCGTCCTTATCAAGTAATACCAGCTTATTTCCATTGTCTATCTATCTGCATGTGTTCTCTATGCCTCCTGGACGTCATGCGAAAGAGCAGGTTGTGTGATCGAACGGTACAGTACATCGTCTCTTTGCTCTGTGGTACTCCTTCACTCTGATATCCGAACTCCAGCTGCTCGTCGGCATGTGAGATTCCCCTCTCTCTCTTTTTATGTTGGGTCTTACCTCAGAGCCCCGCAAACCAAAACTATACCAGTTAAGGCTTCAGGGTTTAAGCAGTATAGGGTTCAGTATCCAGGGCTTGAGACTTAGGCTTCAGGGTCTTCGTATTGTCGAACCGGGAGTTTCCGAAAATAGGGGACCGTAATATAGTACCCTAAATAGTAGGATCCTTATTATAGGGACCCCAAAAGAAGGTACCCCTAGTTTTCTGAAACTCCCAGTAACCAACAACAGCTGCAAGCTTGACGTTCACGGCGCCTTGTTGCAGGAGACCGACTCGTCCGTCCCTGATCTCTTCGTGGCGGGTTCAGGATTTAAAGGAACCCTTAAAGAAACCTTTAAGGGAACCTTTAAAGGAACCCTTAAAGAAACCCTTAAAGGAGACTGTAAGGGAACCCTTTAATGAGAGACTAAGGGCTTAGGCTCGGGGGTTTGGGGGCTAGGATGTGGAATGCAGGTTGACGGATTAGGGATGTACCCTGAATCAGGGGGGGGGCAGTTGTTAGCTGGTGCTTGAGAAAGAGCGAAGGAAGGAACATGTGGACCAACATCAGGGATTAAACCGGGACCACGAGAGGGATCTACTCTCTCGCTCCCGCTTAAGCGCCAGCAAGAGGCCTTGCCTAGTGTGCAGCGTTTTGGGAGTTTGACTTGAATGGAGAAGGGGTTTTGGGGTGAGGAATCGGGGGAGAGCGGAAGGGGAGGGAGGTCAGACAGTGTAGGGGCCTCAAGAGTTGACAGAGGGTTTCGGGGTATAATGCGCTTTTCCCATAGCAGGAATCCTGAGGAATGGAATTGGGGATTCTGCAGGCCCTTGTATTTCTAGGGTTTTGTTGGTTTGGTGCCTTTTAGGCCGAGACTCTCACTCTCCATCATGCAAGCTTCGCATTGTTGAAGTCCCAACTGAAGTCCCCCACCGGAGTCTGTAAGACTCCAAAAGAGGCTGAATTAGAGCTTTCGTTGCTAGCTAAGTCTCTCTCTCTCTCTCTCTCTCTGTCTCTCTCTGTGTGCTTATTTACATAAACTTACAAATGAACATATATTGTGAATATCTGTAAACCTTCTCACACAGAGGACGCACCGGAAATGACCCATGTAGGCTGACTTCCATAGGCCCTGAGAAACCCTAAGCAACGAACCTACCCGCCCCCAAACCTAAAAACCCTAGACCATACTGTAACCGCCTGAACCTAAACCACAAACTCTAGAATCCCCGGAAGGGAACCAAAACGTCTCTGACCAGCTGATCTGGGCATACCAGAACCAAAGGCTGTGAAATCGGAACTCTAGGCAAACTCAGCAACTCTGCACTTGTCTCGCCCCATCTTTAGATCTAAACACGGCCTGTGAAGCACTCAGCATCACACACGGTGACGCCGCTAACGACCCTGCAGTCGGGAGGGTGGTTCTACTTCGCCCGAATCTTCCAGGATACTAGAAGGTGCAAGATCTATAAGCTGTCGGGGCTCGATGCGCAAGCTGAGATTCACTTCCCTACCGACTGGGGCTTAAGCCTTGGGCTTTGGGACCTAAGATGAAGGGTTTCGGCTTCTTCCTCTCAGTGCCTGCTTCCCACTGCGTCTTCAGACTCGGAGAACCCTAAACCCAAAGCCACGCCCCAAAACCAAGCTGACTAAGCTGACTAAACCCTAGACACCATATCCTTAAACCCCATACCCTAAATCCTGAACCATAAACCCTCAGCCCGAAACCCTACACCCTAAACCCCTAAACCTAAACCCATAAACCCATAAACCCTGAAACCCTAAACAGTCAAAAAAAAGCAGGAGAGCCCAAAGGGCCCGAGCAAGCCTGAATCCTCGTCATGAGCATTCGTTTTGGGTTGGGAGGTTTATGGAATTAGGGTTTAGGGTTGAAGGGTTTAGGGACTTTTGTTGTTTTTTGGCTCCTTTTTTCCGACCAGTCCGGGTGTAGTGAATTAGGATTTAGAGTTTAGGCTAAGCGATTCGGAGCCCACGCCACGCCACAACTAGAAATCCCGTTGTATCATTATGGTCATGAGTATCAGGATTCTTGTGGCGAGTTGAATCAGATTCGGTTGCAGGGTTCCGGAGTTTAAGGTTCACGGTGCAGGGCTCGCGACTCAGGGTTTCGGACCTTTGTATGTTGGGTTTTAAAGGTCTAGGACATTTATAGCACGGCAGGGCCACCGCGCCTGCTGCGGCAGTCGGGTAGCACGCACTTCTGCAAAGCCTGACCCAGTCCCGAAAAAGTTCAGCCCCTACCATCGACCATGTTGCAAACGACTGTCTTTACAGTACTTATTGTATGCACATGTCTAGCACAGATCTGTGTCTAAATATTTTGAAAGGACTATGTATGTATACGCAGATTTGTCTACCGTATTCAAGCGGGGCTTGTGGTTTCTCGTTGGTCATGCGTGCCGTTGCAGGATCTCGTGTAATCTTGTGTGCCTTAATCAGGTAGTTAGGTTCATAGACCTCTAACGGGTTTCACCGTGTGCAAGATTACAAGCAGGATGCCCCTTTTAAGTGTACTTCAGCAGGATTAGAACCTGTTGATGCTAACTTGTGCTGCCTTGTCTCCACCCTGCCTATGGCTCCCGATACACCAGAAGCATGCTGTACTTCATGGGAAATTTCTCAAAGCAGGTGCAGCTTGATTCAAGGTTCCTGTGCAGTGCGAGGTTGCTTGCACTACCACGACTACCACAACAACAACAACAACAACAACAACAACAACAACAACAACAACAACAACAACAACAGCAACATGAACTACTACTACTACTACTACGACGACTACTACGACGACGACCACGACGACGACGACGACTACTACTACTTCTTCTACTCCTACTAGTACTGCTACTGCTACTTACTTTTTAAACTGATTCTATCACCTATACTACTTATACTACTTGCTACGGCTACTGCTACTGCGACTGCTGCTTGGCTGCGGGTACCTTAGGACGAAGCCGCTTGAGGAGACCCTCAGGGGGAACGGCCAAGGGGCCAAGATTCCCTCTATCTCAACGGAGCCCTAAAACACTTTCCCGCAAAATCCTAAGCCCTCGACCCCCAAACCCACTGAATCCTATAAACCCCTGTAAAACCCTAAACCCTAAACCCCTGTAAAACCCTAAACCCTAAAACTAAACCCTAAACCCCCGACACCACTTGCAATCAGGAGCCCTCTGTTCCTTCACTGAGTTAGTCTTGTTTGCAAGGACGTATTTGACGAGCGCCCACACGGTTGGGGGTTTAGGGCTCTAGGCTTTAGGCCTTTGGGGTTGAGGGGTTAGGGTTTGGGGCTTTGCGGAGATCCGATACTATACCAGGACCACGCTGAGATTCTGAGCATACGACTACTGGTCACATACTTCGAGACTTGGATCTGGCCGTGCTCAAACCCAAACCTTGCGGAGTTGCCTCGCTGTTGGCGGGCCCGTACTGCTCGGTCCAGGTGCGGTCGCAGTGGGAGGCAGCTTGGCTGCCATTGACGACTTTGCCGTCCGGCCGCACCTTAAGCTTTAGAGTTCAGGGCTCCCAGGCTACTGCACATCAATCATGATCAATATTCGGGAGATGGCCGAAAACTCCCTTGCAAAAATGCCCAACAACAAATGCAAATGCTTGAACATGGCGGAACTCTCCTAGCACGAAGACCTATATGTTTAATCATCAAACCAGGGTCTTGGCAGCTGTATGCCGGAACATGTGAGGGAGGGAACCTGTGTAAAAAAATGCTAGCTGGTGCCCCCATGGTGTTAGAACCTTTTGAAGCACCAAACTCACCAAGCCCCGAAACTAGGGCTGTTAGTGAATAGACAAGGATTTTGGGGTATCTTATAACATTAAGTATTCTGCAGAGCAGTATTGTACAGTGTTCCCACATGCATACTACCAACCGGGGTACTGGGATTCTAGATGCCACCACAGGCACACTACAGCGCTGCTTCACGAAGGCACAGCCACGGCCGCGACCCCACCACATGCCTTGGATCGAGGGCTCTGGGTGCTGGGCGTAGTGCGATGTTCGTAGCTGGATGTAGATGTCGACATGGCTTCGGACACTGTTGCTCGCGGCTTGAACTTCCTTGCAGCGCGATCCAAAAAAGGCTCTGTTTAAGCAATCAAGACGAGCAGCTTTCACCAACTGTCTGATGCGGAAATAGGTCAACACATGAGCACAAACATCAACGACGAATATGCTGAAAATGATGAGCACGATCACGATTATAGGCATCATCTCACAGACGATTGCATCATCATCGTCATCATCATCATCATCACCATCATCATTATCATCATGTTCACGACCATCATCATCATCATCATCATCATCATCATCATCATCGCCACCAAAAAACATCACCATCATCAGCGTCATCGTTTGAACCCGAGCCCTAAACTCCTAAATCTTACTTCTCAGCTCCATCTTCGGCTCCGAACGGCACTCGGCATTGCTATAGTTGGCGAAGTAGTGGCCGATGTCCTCCACGAAGCAGAGGCTGGGAGATGTGAGCGTACGATATTTGGGTTCGGAGCTAGCATTTAGGGTTTAGTGTCGTGCTTTAGGAAGTGAGGCTAAAGTTCGTCAGCTCACGGTACCTTCCGGCCACTCTGAACCAAGTTTCCTCTCGGATTTTTTTTTTAAAGTGCAATGACTTTAAAGGATTTTGGGGTTCAGGGTTTAGGGTATATAGGGGTTTAGGGCTTCGGGAGTTTAGGGGCTGAGGCTTTGGTGCAGTTCGCCTCCAGGGCCGCCAGTGTGATCGCAGACACGGCCTCTAAGCCGTTTCCATAAGACCTGGGCCAGGCCGTAGGGCTTCGGGTTCACGGGTTTTTTTTAAGTGTAGTGCACCGCTCCTTTGACTCCAGAAGGCTGTCGGTATTGCTCGAATTGAGCTTACATGGCAGTCTTGAGGCTATAGAGTTAAAGATTGAGTATATACGCTTGGGTTTACTCTCCTGCTCGACAGCAACCGAACCAGAAACGGCATCCGGTTTAGGGTCTGATGTGAAGACCTATCATTGTGTGCGCGTTTCATCTCGCAGAGGGGATCTGCGTCTCGAGCTCAACCCGAGGCCCCAATTAGACTGAAATCCCAGAACCCTAAATGCCCAAAACCCAAACCCTTAACCCCAAAGAGACTACCCCACGTCCGGTCGATGATCCGTAAAACCTGAAAAACCCCTAAAGGCCTGGCCATGTTGGCTGTCTCTGGTATTGGTATTCGTATCGTAGTAATAGCCGCAATTGAATCTTAGCACGAATCCCCATCTGAGTTGGGTCGGGGCACATTACATCGTCGCGAAGGATTCGGGTCTCCTGAGCTGCATCGCAAGGAGTACCCTTAACCCCTGAGTCGGTTTCATAGGGCTTGGGGTTTAGGGTTCCTAGTGAAATCTTGTAGTCTTGTGAACAGCTCTTCAAATCCCAACCTCTTGTTCTTGGCAGTCGCAGGACACCTTGTCTTCAAATCCTTGTAGGGCCCAGAAAAACCTGTAAAGAACAGTTATAGACTTCATGACCGCCCGAAATCCCGTGTTGCTCTTGCTTGCGGGGGTATATAGGGCTTTAGGGCTTATTCGGGGTTCAGGGATTTCTTGGTTTAAGGTTTCAGGATCCAGTGCCGTATTCAGGGACAGCCGGTAGACCGAAACCGGAAACCCTAGGCCTAGGCTAGAGTCTACTTCGAAACACGTAAACCCTCTCAAGCCTACATTGCCCCTTCAGCACAAAACACTCCAGAACCCTAAACCACGCCTGGATCTAGATTCCCCAACGCCCTTTCTCTGTTTTCAGAAGGACATCCTCAAACAAAAGTGTAAAACCTAGCATGCCTTGGCCGGGGGGGGACCTAGATACGAACCCCTTCAACCCTTAACCCAGACCCTTAACCTTAAAGCCTGAACCTTACATACCAAACCCGCAATGCCCTCACCTCCAAACCGCAACCACTTATCGGCACCCGTACAGTACCCTTCAAGGAACCTGTACAACAACCGTAACCATAAACCCTAAACCCTAAACAGAAAACCCTAAAACCCTGAAACCCTAAACCCTAAACCCTAAACCCTAAAACCCTAAAGCCCTGAACCCCTAAAACCCTAAACCCTAAACCCTTTCCCTCTCTACTACGTTCAGGCCATGTCTCGTGGTGCGTGTCTCGGCCTGAAACGGGCCAACTCATCAAAGGGAGGCCCTGCCAGTCAGCGTCCTGTGGTTTAGGGCTGGGGGGTTAAAAGTGTCATGGTCTACAGGCTTAGGGTTTAGTAGGGCTTACTATGCTGCAGCATTCCGGGGGTTGCGGGGCGGCGGCAGTCTCGGGTTTAGAGCTGCGAGTATCGAGTCTATATAGGGCAACTTATAGGGCTTAGGTTTGATTCATCTGGCATCTTGCCTGATTCTGACACTCCTGTTAGATTGAAGCTTCTCGGCATGGGGGTGGGGTAGGTGCTCATATCAATCGAGTCTGATTCATGCGCGTTCGTTTGAAATTACTTGCCAGCCGTCTGTCCGAGGCAGGGAGCATCAACTTGGCTCCGGCTGATGTATTTGGGTCCAAAATGGGTGACTGATTGCAAACTTGCTGTGGCTGATCTTTACCGGGCCTTTGGCCAACTAAGATGAGCACCTGACAACACAAGGTCTGGTTTTCAACCTTTTCCTTCATACAGGATATCGAGGCTAGCGGGTTTCATGAGCCTGGTGCATCAAGCAATTGGACCGGAAAGGCTTTCGTCATATCAGTGGCGAAAACACACGGGTTAGATAGAACACAGATGCTCAGCACACAGACTTTGACTGTGCTGCCACAACACCACCGGAAAGTAACTCCCAATACCTGAACAGTTTCTTATGGCAGGATCGCCGGTCTTAGCCGCCTGTCTTCCTCAAAATGTGTCTCCGCTCGGCTTGCCCAGGCACCTCTTCGCAGGCAAAGTAGTCTTTGGCAACTTCATAGGTCCGCGTATATCTCCTCAGCCAAAACTTCGGGTCGTAGCCATCGGAAGTAACAGTACGACTGACAGCACCTGCAACTTCGCGCTTAGCATCCTCTAGTTTTCCCGCTTAGACATGATCATCTGCCAACCGGATCATGGCAGAAACCGACATCACTTGTACGACCAATGAACGCAGGGAAATGCTAGTCGGAGTGGCATGAAGTGGTAGATGAAGTCCTTTGTGCCGTCCTGATCCGTGACCTGCTCATCTGAGTAGAAACTAGGATCTTGGGCTTCGCACCCGAAACTAGTTGTCTTTTCAATATAACTATATTTTATTATATCCATGGAATTTATTTATTTACAGAAATGATTCATCCGTAAACAGACCAATGTCATGTGGCCCGTGCCTGATTCATGGAATGGGCTATCAGGACGACTGCTGAAATCTCCTGAGCCTTTAAGTTCGAGGTGTCCTGTTCTGGGGCTCGAGTGGGTCATCATTGCAGGCTAGGACGTATAGGATTTCAACCCTCCATGTCGTAGCTTTAAGCGTCCGCCTCCAGCTGCTTCACCAGCTGGCGCCGCTCTCCACCAGCGTGGTAGCCTGCATCCGAGGCTTCGGTTTAGGGTTTAGGGGAATAAGCACAAAACGGAGAAGACAGCCGGAGTCTGACTTTGTTTGAGCCTTGCTTGCCATGGGAGTGGGTGCTGAGGGCGTGTGCGAGCCCAAAACCCTGCATTCAGCTCTGACCGATGTTCACACCGATCAACACACCATCAAGCTGTAAACTTGGGAGTGCGCTCAAGACGAAAGACTCGCATTATCTCACAGTTTAACGCTGGAGCCTTGTGAGAAAATTCAAGCATTAACAGGGTTTCCAGCCTTTTGAACTCTTGTAGACACCTAAATATGAAGTCATGAAACCATAATGTGACCATACATGTAGTAGCAGGCCCCTGTAACACGTCATACATCCCTGCGGATCTCGGTAAGACCCTGACATGTTCAATTATCCTACGTGTCCGTGAGCCTTAATCCTCACACCCCTGACCCTCCCCCCGAGTCTACAGCCACAAACCCAACACATTCTACCGCAAAATCAAAATCCGAAAACCCTGAACCCAAATGCCTTAGCTTTTCGACCCGTAATCCGCAAACTCAAACCCAAGCGTGCTTGGAGGTTCATGGGTAGCTACAAAAAGGTGTTATAAGTCTCCTAATGTGGGTCATAACTACAGCTACCCTACTTGTAGCCACACTTCTACCTAGGCTCCACAGTAGTTCCTTTTGGGGGTTAATATTTAGAACCCTACAAGGCAAGCCCAAAAAGGAACTACTATATGGAGTCTATGGGTAACTACTCATGAAACTCCACCTGCCCCTGAACTCTCACTAGGTCGAGAGGCTGTTGCGCCAAAGCGACGAACCAAAGCCAAGGCCATGGATGGCCTGGAAGCCAAGCAAGGTGTAAGCGTTCCAGAAGCGCTACCATAATATATAGGCCTTGACATTTTGAATAGGGTTTTAGGGCCCAGTATACTGTCGCGAGCATTGTTTAGGCCCCGTATAGTAAGCCTTTTGAAAGGGTTCTCCGATGTTGGGGCAGGATGCTACTGGGTCTGGTGCTTCGGGTCTTGGGTTGGGGCTTTCTGGGTCTGCTTTGGAGTTTCGGCTTAAGGGTGTGGGGTTGACATGATGGTTTAGGCCCCTAAACCCTAAACCCTGCTAGGGTTCGGGGTATGTCGGTCTGGACTTCGGATTCAGATTTGGGGTGTGCTGCTTTGGAGTTGAGGGCTTAAGGTGTAAGGTCTAGAATCGATGCTTAGGGTCTAGGATGTTTAGGGCGTAGGGCTTAGGGTTTAAAGTTTACAGTATTGATTTTTTCCGTAGCTTTGGAGTTTAGGGGTTAGGGTTCGACGTCAAGGCCTTGGTTCGTGGAGTTGGGATAAGGGATTGAGTGAGGCATGTGTCGATGATGACATGGCCGCCATGGTAAGCTAAGCCCCAAGCCCCAAATCCTAAACTCAAGACTTCGGGTGTGGAGATATTTGTTGCTTAGGGTCGAAGGTTTCAAGGAGGTGTCTGCTGCGTAGCTTATAAGGCTGTTGTTTAGGGTTTTGGGTTTGCCAGCATGAAATGTCTGGGTGAGAATGAAGCACTCCCGTTTTGTGTGACTGCCTAAATCCCGTCAGTGGCGACTCCCTAGGGCTTTGGTCTTTGGTCAAAAGGTACTATCTTATTAGGGTCCCCTATTTTCGGAAACTCTCATGTGTGACTACCTCCGTCCGCCCCGCGTCACCACACATCAGCTGACCCCAAAATCATCCCAAACATTGAGAGGCTTGGGGATCCCAACCCTCCAAGAAGAATTACTGGGCACCCAAAAAAAAGGAAGTACACTGAAGGCTCGGATGGCCAGCTGCCTCATGGAGAACGAGGCCACGCCAGTGACGAACAAGCTCCTGGCGAAGATACAGAGTTTTAGTTTTCTTTTCTTTCGGGGCTTTTTCCACTTGCTTGCTAGTAGCAAAAAAAATGAAGCTTTTTTTCTAGAAATAATGAAGCTTCAGGCTTTAGGGTTCAGCATGACAATGCGTTCTTGTGTTCGCCCCCTCACACACCTAACCTTGCTGATTCTTCACCAAGCCCAAAGCTGACCCTAGAGCCCTAGACTCAAAAGACCCTGAACCTGCAGAAAAGTTTCAGAACCCGCCGCCCCCCGTCCCCCGGACTGTAAACCTTTGGCGCTCATGGGTTTTGGTTTTCGTGGTCCTGATTTACACCCGCTGTTTACTGTACGCATGACCGCACATGTGACTACCCATGCAGTGGCAAGCATCGCTGATTCCTGGTGATTGAATCGATGCTCTGCCGTTTGTGCGAGCGTTGCAAGGCTTTAGTAGGAAGAAACTCCACGGCATGCTACAAGCCGGCAGACCCTCGAAATTTTCAACAAAGCCACGGATGCCACGAACGAGTATTGAAGCACCCTTCGTTAAAACAACACCAATAGCAAAATGGGAGCCTGAAGTAGCAATCGAAAACCCACTTGCTGACTGAAAAGAGACCTTGCTGTGGGATACGCGCGCCCTATTCTGGCTATTTAGATCCTAAAAAGAGCCGTTAAAGGAGCCGTTGCAGGAACCTATAAAACAACCCTAAACCCTAAAGCCCTTTAAAGGAATCTTTCAAGGAACCCTATAAGGCGCTCTTACAGGGAGCCATGGAGGGTGTGTCCTGGGTGCTGAACTCGCTGAATTGGTTCTCACTCACTCGTCGGTGCCTGCTCGGGTTTCGGGATTGGGCTCTTTGGGTGTTACAGTATATTATGGGGTATACGACAGTACAAACATATTAATGAGGGACTACGCCCTAAATCGGAATACCTTACTGATGTGAGCGATACAGGGTGTAGAGTGTACACCGAAAATGACCGCCAACGAGAGTTGCGGAACAATCTCCGAGCACGGAGGGCTACACCGTCTACACCCAAGGCCCTAAGTGCAAAACGCCACTACCAAAATCCTGAAGCCTTTATCTACTAGGATGCCCAGTAACCTACGAATAAAAAAGGGCTCCCTTTTTGGTATCGGGTGCCTTTATAAGGAACCTAGGACTACAAAAAGGGAATAAGGGTACTACTGGGCATCCTTATCTATTTAAAGCTCAAAAAAACCCTCCGCCGGGCCCCCGACCACTGGAAAATCAGGTGCAGGGGTCGACCACGTTGGTCTGCAGAACAGAAGGTACCAGCACCACCCACCTGAGTCGATCTTCATATAGGAGTTTCCGAAAATTAGGGGGTACCCTTCAAGGGGATCCTTTAAGGGTTCCTCAAAGGGATCTATAAGGGGTTCTATAAAGGGTTTAGGGTTTAGAGTTTCCGAAAATTAGGGGTACCTTATTTTGGGGCCCTTATAACAAGGATCCTACTAGTTAGGGTGCTATATTAGGGTCCCCTATTTTCGGAAACTCCCGTATAGGGGCCTCCATACTCAAAGTAGGGTTCCTTTAAAGGTTCCTTTGAAGGTTCCGCAAAAGGGCTCTACAACGATTCGTACAAGTGGTTCGGAGGTGGGGGATGTTCAAGGCTTGGTGCAGGGGCCTTCATAATGCGAGTCGGATGCAGGCCGGAACATTATATACCATACTCATACTACGGACCCCCCCATCATAGTATTGGTATAATTATCTATATAGGCTTCTACATTATTCAAACTTTCGGGTTTTTGTGGCAGCTCTACAGTCTTAAAAGCACGATACGGGCTTTGCAAGCGTTTCGGGGAGGGTTTCAGGGTTTTGGGGTGTTATTTCCGCAGCCTCGTAGAATATCCGGAAATTGAGGCATGGTTGCACGTCATAGTGTGTGGGTGAAGACTGCACTTTCATCCAGGCTGAATCAAGAACCAGAGCTACCAGCAACAAACTCCAACTCAGGCACTCATGGCATCTGAGCCCTACCCCCTGACCTTCGAAACCCCGTCCAACCCTTAGCCCTAAGTGCACTAGGCCCCAAACCCTGAGCAATGAAACCCTACACGCTCCGACACAGAAAGGAGACCGTTCACAAGACTTCGGAGTTGGAGGACAGGGGTTTTAAGACTTTTGGGTGTGAGGGTTTAGGGGTTTAAGATGAAAAAGGGCCGCAAGCTCAACGACCTTGGGGTCTTAGGGGGTTTGGTAGGCTAAAACTCAAGACCCGGAACCCTAGAGGCTATGCAAACTTAAAATGGGTGCAGGGTGCCAGGATCTTGCCGTTTCTTCAAACCCATTCTCATGTCTCTTGCATAAAACTAACTACTAGTCACAGCTACTAGCAGTGTTGTTGAACTTCATATCGTTGTCATCCAAGTATGAGCAATGCCGACATGTCCCGAAACTTGAACTTCGGGCAAATCAGTGAATCATGCGTAGCATTAAGGGTCCTGCTCCCGGCACAGGAGGCGGCATGCTCACCGAGAGCACGGCGTCCTGTGAACTGCAAAACTACATCATTCTGCTTCCATCTTTTGTGGTTTAACACAACAAGCCAGCGACTACGCCGTGGAAAGCGCAGAGCAGGGGTCCGTGTTGGTGAGGCCCTCGCTGCAAAGGCTGTCTGGCACCACGACCTTGTAACACACAACTCGTGATTCATGACATACTTCATTAGTGAATGGGCTTTTGCGTTGCAGTATCTGGTAAATGTTTAGGGGCTATAAGGCTGTATGTTTACCAACCAACTAGCTCGTACAGTTCATGCGTTTCCGCATGATTGGTAATATCCTTCGGCCTGGATTCTCTTGTTGTTGACTCAGCTGTGGTTCAGCCTCAACGTGTAGAGGGCTGAGTACGCTGTTCTTTTTTATATGTGCCTGGGCGTGTGTTTCCCGATCTGTACTGTTGGCATCCAATCGCTGTGGTATACACAAAAACGATGACCGTTCCTGGGTTACAATTTCGGGTACATTATAGTGACGACTATGATTATCACTATGACGACCACGGGCTCGACTGACGACGACTTTTCTACTGTGACAAGTGGCAGCAGTGAGCAGAAACATCGATGTTCTGAGAAGAAATCATCGTCAAAGCAGCTGGCTACCAATGACAATCATGGGCCATGGGAAGAAATATAAGAAAAAACGGAGTTACCTGGCAAGCAGCGAAACCAACATCGAAATTACAGGCTTTTGCGCCAATTTGTGTTGTCGTGTTACTATGTCACTGGGCGCATGCTGATACCGTTGTTGATTGTTCACTGTCCTGGTGAACCTGCTTGTCGCCAGGGGGCATGGAGCCCTTTCTGACCTTAGCTTGCTGAAGTGTGCCCTCCCTCCCTCCCTCATTCGCCGCTCGCTCTCTTGCAGTCTTGCTCTCTCACCCTTTCGCTCCGTCTTTCTGCTCCCTGTCGCTCTCTCTCTCTCTCTCTCTCTCTCTCTCTCTCTCTCTCTCTCTCTCTCTCTCTCTCTCTCTTCTCTCTCTCTCTCTCTCTCTCTCTCTCTCTCTCTCTCTCTCGCTCTCGCTCTCGCTCTCGCTCTCGCTCTCTATCTCTGAGCCCGAAGGTCTGGTATACTTACAAAGTGACATGGCGACATTGCATATATCTTGCCTAATCTTGGCTGCCAAATATTTGGTGGCCTATTGAAGCTCTAGCTCGGTGTCGTGGTGTATATTGTGGACACCGAACGCCTACGAAATCCAACAAAATAGGGCGGGCTCAAGGCGTGTAGATAAGCAAGCAAGTTCCTATTGTTGATGACGTGGCGACTGACGATGATGATGATGATGATAATGGTGCATGCTGGTGTTCATGATGATGTTGATTGTGAAGATGTCTATAATGGCAGCCAATCATTGCAACGATAACTATGCAGATCTATGAAGGTAGGGGTCCAAATGACCGGTGACAAGAGCAGTCCCATTGCTTGTGTTGGTATGTTTGTCACGGGCAACTGGAGCCGGCGCAAGTTATTGCTTTCTCGTCGTGCTCTCGCCTATAAAACTGATGTTAAGTTGTAGCTCGGGCAGCTACGATAGCGACATTCGATCGAACATTGCTTGGTAGGTTGCTTTTTGCTATCAACGTAGTTGCTACCATGCCGTCCTCAAGCTCCATGGCTCTAACTATCCCTCAACCCGACACCTCACTCTTGAGAACAAATCCCTATGCCTTACCCGGGAACCCCCCACCCACTTAACGACCTTGAAGCCGTTACGCTCCAACCTCAGGGCCAGTGGCAGTCCGGATCACAGGCTACACCCGTTTGCCGCGTCTTTTGCCACATGGCCGGAAAGGAGCCTTCCCAGCTCCTGGAGTGCGGCTGCTACTGCTGCAACTACGACAACAAGAACAACCCGTAGCAGCAGCAAGGGCAAGGGCAAGGGCAGGAGCAGGCGCCGGGGCAGGGCCAGGGGCCAGGGCATGGGCAAGGGCAACACCAGCAACAACAGCAGCAACAATAACAGCAACAGGACGAATAGTAAGAAGAAGCTGACAAGAACAGCAAACATATCAACAGCAACAGAAAAACAAAAGCAACAGTGACAGCGGCAGCAGCTACAGCCACAACCAAAGCCACGGCAACTGCAACAGCACCGACAACAACAACAACAACACCAAAACCAACACCAACATCAACACCAACACCGCCACCATACCAGCACCACCGCCACTGCCGCCGCCGCCACCACCACCACCAGTGCAACCAACAACAACAACAATGCCAACACCAACGCCCGCACCAACAGCCACAACAACTAGGACGACGATGCCAAAGGACAACGACGGCAAACGACAACGACGACGACTACTATTCATTAAATATGTCTTCTGACCAAGAGAATCGTGATTATGTGAGTACAACTTCAGATCTGTGTCACTGCAATCGTTCGGGCGGCGCTGGAGGGGACAGGGGAATGGTTTGGATGCCTTCAACATGTACTTCTTGGTTGTATTTGTTGGAAAGCCGTTTTCTCTTTTTTGTGGCAAGCTTCCAGAATCAGGGTTGAGCTGTGGCATTTCCAAGTAGGTAACTGTCTTGCGCACATCCACCTCTTAGGCCCAAGTCCGGAAATCCGCGGATTCCTCCCAAAACAAGCTTGGCTTAGCCCGTCTGTCTGAGAAACTATGCACTGCGGCCGCAATGTGCCGGGGATCGTGCTTGGTTCTAAGGTGATGTCTATAGTCTATAATGGCTTCCTATGATGCTGGATTCCACTAGAAATCTAGTCAGCATGTCTATAATTCTTGCTATGATACTAGAACGAACTAGAAGTCTAGTAGACTATGCTATAACACTATAACCTACTAATACATACTTGCACATACTACAGTTACTCTGATGCAGGAGCAAGGTGAAGCTACCTTGCAGGGTTTGCCGTTCAGCGAAGCTGCCATGCGTGGATGTACCGAAGCCTCGAAACATTATAGTAGGCTATAGCATGATAGTATGGCAGGGTGGGTTCTAGTAGTATATATGCCACGGTAAACCCCAAGCCTTCAGACAACCCTGAACCCTAAAAGCCTCAATAACCAAAGCCTGGCAGGGTACCAACCCTGAAGCAAAGCCTGGGGGGGCATTTCAACCCACCGAAATACGGGGCCCCCTGTTTTGCCACGCTCGCGCCTGAATTTCAGGGTGCCTTCCACAGGCAGCACCTGGATGAAAGTGGGCATGTCTTTCATGGCCTCCTGAGTGCAGTGCGAGGCAGTAAACCCTACACCTAAGCCCTAAACCCCTAACTTTAGGTTCTAGTGGGGTTTGGGCTATGGGTTCTGCAGATACCAGTGGGCGGACTTGGGGTTCGAATGGTTTCGAGCTTTGGGGGGGGGTTGGGATTTCAGGGTTCGGCGAGTTCAGGGGCCATGCGGCCCATGAGTTGCTGTAGCAATGTGAATTAACGTCCCTGTTAGGGTGCCCTAAATAATAGGTACCGCATTATAATGGGGACCCAACAAGGGACTATAATTTTGACAACCATCCATGTGTCTTCGAATGACGAAAGATGTTTCATGACTTAGGAGTTTCCGAAAATAGGGGACCCTAATTATAGTGCCCTAAATAACAGGATCCTTATATTTTCAGGACCCCAAAATGAGGTTCCCCTTATTTTGGGAGCCACCCACTTGGGGTCTACTCCTCAAAAGTTACGAGCTCGAGGATGCTGTCAAAGGGAAACAGGAGGGACCCTTAAGGCGGACCCCTAGCCTATAATGGGCTAGAAAAAATGGGTATATAATGTCTATATTAAAGGTGTATTACCTAGGGGTCCTTATTAAGGGTCCGACCTGTTCCCCTTGGATGCTGGGTTCGGATCCGGGCTGAGCAGCGGTAGGTTTTTGCTTTCTTCTTCTCGCCGGGGGCCGTACTATAGGGGCCTTATAATGAGTACCAATACTATTTTAGGGGCTCCTTGCTATAAGCATAACTATAAGTATAGCATAATGGCCCCAAAACCCTCTTCGAATTATTTTAGGCCCCTAAATCATAGAGCCCTTACCGTATAGTATCCCGAATAGTAACCCTTATAGAGCCCTTTGAAGGAATCCCAATTCGAATTATTTAGGCCCCTATAGTAGGTCTTCGAGGTCTCGGCTCAGGGGGAGTCCAGCCCACAACTACTAATGTTGTCCACGGGACGATCCAAGCACAAGACCTGCTTGGAGGTTCATGGGTAGTTATAAGGATTCCTTTAAAGGAGTCTATAAGGATTCTATAAGGGTTTAGGGCCTACTTGGAGGTTCATAGGATTTCAATGGAGTTATAAGTCCCCCCCCCTAATATGCCTAATATGGACTATAACTATAGTTACCTTACTCATAATCCTACTTATAACTACCCAAGAACCGAGTACTGTGGCCGGCCCACAGAACACACACAAAGTTGACACCCGATAAACCCCCCCACATCCAACCAACCCAGCCATAATCACGTCAAACAGAGACCTTCCGCCAAGAACTTATCGAAGCCTGGCGCAAACGCAACAAACGATGCCTCAAACCCTACACCCGAGATATAATCCTCAGGTTACAAGCCCCTAGTGAGCATACAGTCCATGATTTCATTGAGGAGCCCTAATGAATAGATTCTCCTGTACCTATCGAGGCTGCCATCTTGTACTTCCCAGTCTTTCTCCCAGCGCTAGTGCTCCGAGCTCGAGTTGCGCCAAGCGACGGTGGTTGCTTCGATGGCGAAAGATCTCATCTGTTCCTTGCGCCAAGCCAAGACCCGTGAAGGCTTAGGGTCTGGGTTTGGGGGTGTCTGGTTTTGAAAGGGATGTTGAAGGACTTGTTGCAGGGTCTTATCACGACGTTGTCAGGGTTTTGTAAGAGATTTAGGGTTTCCGGTGCAAGGTGTACTTACATAGCCGGTCCTTTAAGAACAGCTTGGCCATATCATGGTCGTCTAACCGTATTCCGAATCACCGTGTGTTGGTGGAACACATCCAATACGGTGCAAGTCGATAATGACCTGGTG